TCAAACAACCCCATCAACAAATGGGCAAGCGAAATGAACAGAAACTTTTCAAAAGAAGACAGAATAATGGCCAGCAAACATATAAAAAAATGTTCAACATCTCTAATCATTAGAGAAATCCAATTTATCTTTTAATCTCCTTCTATACAATAATGTATTTGAAGTCAGCTATCATGTTGACTCTGAGTTAACTCTTTGCTCTAAGCGCTACCAGTTCTTTTAAAAATATGATGTCTCAAATCGAAAATAAATGCCAGCCAACTGTGATCTATTGCATTTTTGTTTTTTAATCTAAGTTCAATTTATGTAAAAAGAGCAAGACTATTGGTTTATACATTAAAATAGTAATATTTTATATTCAAGAAACTTTCGTATTCATATTTCCTGGGATCCTGATGAGAACCTTGTCAAATAGGCAGAGCATGTACCATAAATTAAATGTGAGTATTCACCTGTTATGATGATAAACATATATTATTGAAAATATTGTACAAATATACTTGCTACAATCACCATTTCAATGTTAGGTATCCAAATTTTGAAGAGATTCATTCATTCTTTGCCCAGTAAAATAATAGTAAGCTGAGACCAGAGTATGAGTTTCTAATCCATGTTCAATTATGATTTCTCTATGCTACCATGCTATTACATATTTTGTATATATAAAAGTCCACGTTCAGAATTGTGATATATTATGGTTATAAATAGATTATTTAAGCATATACAGTCTATTCAAATTCAAGGAACCATTTAAAGATGTTAAAAACCACTTAGAGTGCTCAAATACTTTGAAATGCTGTTTTGGCAATTAAGATGTCAGGATACCTCTGACTTCTTGAAGGTAAAAGGACCCAGTGAGGATTCTTTAAATATATTGCTGTAATGAAAGTAAAATATTGTAATATATGGAAATTCTTAGTTTTGTTTCAAACCTGCTTAATATTTTTTAGTTTTCAATAATTACTCTTAAAACTACTAGTTGCTTGTTATTTTTATTCTCAATGAGCAGCAGTATAATAAGTTATTTGAAAATAACAGTAATATCCCAGTGAACGTTAATATAAAAAGTAATGTTTTACAAAAGGATCTAACATTGAAGTCTATCAAGAGCAGAAAGGGATACCACATAAATATCTAGTAAAATTTTCTACCTCCTCTTAAAATGAGGGACCTGTGTGTAGTTGGAAATGTGTCAGACATGAAACACAAGCCTTTGGTTATTACGACAGAATGTAAAATCTATCAAACTCATGGACTGATACTGGCATCCCTGAGTAACTATATCACTCCTCTTCCTAAAAAATGATACCTATTTTTACCTGACTTAATTACAAGTTAGTAGTATACTCTTCCTATGAACATGAAGAAATAAGTCCAGATTCCCAGGCCATATTTTCAGTTATCCTGATTTAGTAGGTCTACAGCAGATGCTCTAAAATAAACTGTGTATCTAACAAGCAACCTACACGATTTTAATGTAGATGATTCACGGACAAGACTTAGAAAAGCAAAGGTCAATATCAGTTTTAAATATAATCTCAAGCTTCACTCTTCAATATGTGTATTTTTACATTGGCCGTGTAAGTTACAATTCACATTTTCCCAAGACATTTTTGGTATGAATTTTTAAATTATTATTATTTTTTTAAATTGACAGATAAAATTCTATTTATCATGTACAACCAATGTTTTGAATAATATATACTTTGTGGAATGATTCTATCAAGCTAATTAACATATCCATTTCCTCACATAGTTATTTTTGTGGTGAAAATAATTTATATCCACTCTCTTAGGATTTTTCAAGAATACAATATATTGTTAACTATAAGCAATATATTATACAATAGATCTCTTGAATTTTTCTCCTGCTATCTAACTGAAATTTGTATCCTTTGAGCAAAAAGTCTCCAACCTCTCCCCTGATCCCAGATATTCCATCCTATCCCTGGTAACCACCATTCTACCCTCAACATCTATGACATAGACTGTGATATTTATCTTTCTGTGCCTGTCTTATTTCACCTAACAGTGTCTTCTAGATTAGTTCATCTTGCTGCAAATGGCAGGATTTCCTTTCTTTTTACGGCTGAATAATATTCCATTGTGTATATATACCACATTTTTGTTCATTCATCCATTAATGGACACATAGTTGGTTCCATAGCTTGTCTATTATGAATAATGCTATAATTAACAGGGGAGTGTAGTTATCTCTTTGTCATGCTGATTTCATTTCCATTGGATATATACCCAGTAGTGAGATTGATGGATCATATTTAGTTCTATTTTTAATTTTATGAGGAAGATACATAGATACATACTGTTTTCCATAATGGCTGTATTAATTTATATTTTCACCGGAAGTATGCATGCAAGGATTCCCTTTCTCCGAATTCTCACCAACACTTGGTATCTTTCCTTTTTTTGATAATAGCCATTCTAACAGGTGTAAGGTGATATTTCATTGTGATTTTAGTTTGCATTTCCCTGAAGATAAGTGATGTTGAACATTTTTTCATGTATCTTTTGGCCATGTGTATATCATCCTTTGAGAAATGTCTATTCAGGTTCTTTGCACATGTTTCAATCAGGTTGTTTGTTTTCATGCTATTGAGTTGTTTCAGTTTCCTACATCTTTTAGACACTTATCCCTTATCAAATGTATAGATTGCAAATATTTTCTCATTGTCTCTTCACTCCATTGATTTATTTGTTGTTCAGGGATTTTTTAGTTTTATGTAATCTAATTTGTCTATTTTTAGTTTTATTGCCTGTGCTTTTGAGATCATATCCAAAAAAATCTTTGCCCAGTCTAACATCATGAAGATTTTCCCCTATATTTTCTTCTAATGGTTTTATAGTTTCCAGTCTTTCATTTAAGCCTTTAATCCATTTTGAGTTAATTTTGTACATAGTGTGAAATAAATGTATAATTGTATTCTTCTGCATGTAGATATCTAGTTTCCCAATACCATTTATTGAAGAGACTGTTTTTTCCCCATTGTATGTTCATGGTACTTTTGTCAAAAATTGGTTTGCTATATATGCACAGATTTATTTTGGGGTTTTCTTTTCTGTTCTATTGATATAGGTATCTGCTTTTATGCCAGCACCATGCTGTTTCGGTTTCCATTGCTTTGTAGTGTATTTTGAAGTCAGGTAGTATAATTCCTTCAGCTTTATTATTTTTGGTCAAGATTGCATTGGCTATTCAGGATCCATGGTGGTTCCATACAAATTTTAGGATTATTTTTCCTAAAAATTTTGATAGGAATATCATTGAATCGCTAGATCGCTTTTCACAGTATAGACATTTTAACAATATTAATCCTTTTGATCCACTGAACATGGAATATCTTTTCATTTATTTGTGTCTTCTTCAATTTCTTTCATCATTGTTCTGTAGTTTTAGTTTAGATAGTTTTCATCTTTTTGGTTAAATTTATTCCTGAGTACTTTTTTTTTTGTATCTATTGTAAATGAGATTGATTTCTTGATTTCTTTTTCAGATAGTTTCTTGTTAGTGTATAGAAATGCTCCTGATTTTTGTATGCTGATTTTATATCCCGCAGCTTTACCAAATTCATTCACTTGTTCTAATAGTATTTTTTTTTTTTTGGTAGAATCTTTAGCACTTTCTATACAGAAGACCATGTCATCTGCAAAAAGAGAAAATTTAACTTCTTCCTTTCCCAGTAGTATGCCTTTTATTAATATTTCTTTCTCTTGCCTAAGTGCTTTGGCTAGGACTTCTACTGCTATGTTGGATAGAAGTGGTGAAAGTGGGCATTCTTGTCTTGATTCAGATCTTAGAGGTAAAGCTTTCTACTTTTCCCCATGGAGTATGATATTAGCTGTGGGTTTGTCATATATGGCCTATATTGGGTTGATGTACATTCATTCTACACCTAATTTTTTGAGAGTTTTTATCATGAGGGCTATCAGCCACTATCATTAGCATTTGACAGAGACTCAATGCTTCTAAAACCAATGACAGAGTTCCCATTTTTCTAAACTATCAACTGCTAGGGCTAAGATTTCCTTATCTCAGAATTATGAGTAGGTAAATAACTAATTCGGAGTCAGAGGAAGTTGCAAACACATTATGTAAGAGCTACCTAGTTAATTGTTTAATATTAATTTATCACATTTTAAAGCTGCTTTCTTTTAAAATTATAATGTTCACCTCTGTCTCATTTTTGTTGTTTGTCTTTATATCTACCCTGTCCTTATTGTTCAAGTTCTTAGAATCAATAAACCTTGTTTCCAAGACCTTTAATCACTGCTTATGTGCTTTGAACTAAAGCCACCTCATTATGCACATTGCAGCACTCACCTATTTATACACACACTTAAGTACACAAATTATGTAAGTTCTGTTCAGAGATACCACAGCTCCCTTGTCTATTTTAGACCTCAGATCTAGAGCCCTTGACCTAATCTCTGTTCTTGCCTCCTTTTCCCATGGTCTGAATGACTAACCACAAATATCCTACTGACCACAATCTCCTGTCTTTCTGCCTTTCTCAGTCCCTACTCCATCTAGATATATTCCTCCACCTTCCTTCCAATTCCTTTTCTTCTTTCCTCCAGACTACAATACATATGTGTTCTGGTACTTCAACTATTCTTGTCAAACACTCAAATCTATTTTTCCTTTCCTGCTTTAATTGTGCACTCCAGTAACAAATACAGCACTCTTGTTTTCTTGGATTTTATATCCAGTACTGGAGAAAACTCATGATGGTCTGGAGTGATGTCACCATAATTTCAGAGATCCACCCTTACCAGAGCTTTCAAGCTAGTTGGCAGTGCCTCTATGGGTCCAACTGAAGGCTGTTTCTCATTTTTTTACAGGTGCTATTTCAAACTTTTACTATTCCTCCAATACCCTGTCCTATCACTCTTTTCTTAACATGGAAATTCCTAGCTGTCCCCTCTCACCATCAACAAGACTTACGTGCAAGACTCTTTATCAATTGACTCCGGAAACTATGTTCTTCATTTATGCTTGCAGCTAATCCTCCCACTTAGACTCTGGATTCCATTCACTCATTTCAAAGGGGCTTCTCTGCCCCACCTATGCCTCTCTTTTATAAATTGTTATTCTTTTTCTTTTTTAGATTTTTTTCCCCCAAGGCTTTGCCTGTGGCCATATATTCCCCTCTCTCCCTCTCCCTCTCTTTCTCTTTCTCTCTCTGAGTAATCTTATTTACTCCATAATTTCAGCAGCTGCATATAACCTGGAATTCTTCTACCTTCATCAGGAGTTCAAAGGGAGGGGAGGACTTTACCAACTTCAAATACATTTGAGAAACTTATGTTCTAGTATTAGCTCTTAGAGAAGTGGTTCTCAAATTGGTACCTGGACCAGCAAAACCAGCATTACTTGAAAGGTCATTATATGTGCAAATTCTCAGGCCTCACCTTAGGCCTACTGAATCAGAAACTCTGGGAGTTGGGCCTAGCAACCTGTATGTTAGCAAGTTTTCCCAGCAATGCTGATGTACACTAAAGTTTGATAACCACGATCTTAGAGAATCATAATACACATTACTGTATTAAAGGCTTCAAGAAGCCTGAAAATAACCTATTTAACTCTATTTAAGCAAATATTTTCTTAAGTTATTTGAGCATGGACCCTGTGTGTGTATGCATATGTGTTTATAGGATACTCATTAACATCCAGTAGAACTAATGTTAGAGAAACACACTTTGTCAAAAGCTGTAGTAGTCCATTTTACTAGTAATCCTTCAAATACAGTATGCATCTCTCATGCGCTTTGGCATTTAAATATCCTATCTTTGAATTTCTCTACCAAATATGTTCTCTCAACCATTATATGGTCAGCTCCTTAGAGGCAGTGTTTCACAATTATATGCTCATTGAATAAATACGTGAAATGCCAGAGAAATATTTTATAACAATATTTTATGCAGTGGGACTTGCATAAAGTCCCACTAACATGAAGATATTATCTGTTATTTCAATTCATTTTTTGCATGTAGTGGTCCTTTCTATGCAATGATTTCTTCTTGATGAATATGCTTATATTTTCTCATTTGATATCATGAAAATGTAGTATACATCTCATCAGCTTGTCTGTATAAGCTTTCCTGTAGTGAAATGTGTTTTGTAAACGTGACCACTGAAAGCTTTCTTCAACCTATCCTATACCGTGACAACTTTCCACTTTCAAAAAATCCTTTCCTCATTTTATCCTCACAGACTTTCTTTCAAGTCTCTTTCCTCAGTAATCCATTAAAATATTTTAGCCACAGCTATAATAATAATTTTAATTACAATAATAATTACAATTACAAAGATAATTATAATTGATCTAATAAGCCATCATTTTATAAATGAACTATAATTTTATTTGTTGTTATTAGTGAGTTTATAATTATTGAGGGTTCACGGCGTCCCCGATAAAGATAGGGTCCCCAGGCAGAATGTGTCACAAGAGATGAAAGAAACAGAGACACAGACACGGGAATAACTTTAAGAGTGTGGGGAAATTAGGGGACTACCAGCACTCTGGTGCCAAGGTGGTGCTGACTGAAATACAGCACTTGATTTTTATTCTCTTTGCCATGCTGCAAAATACAATGATCTCATGTGAAAAATCATGGGATACAAGGAACAAAAGTTTCAGGGCTCCCCAAAAATCACAAGGTGTCCTACCTAATTACCCTCTCCTTTATAGAAGTGAAAACACGTAATTCTTTAGTAAGTACAACCCTGTCCCAAGGTAAACTAACTAATTTTATCCCAAGCACATGCTATGCACATAGATAGCAATCTTTAACTTCAGTAGTGGTGACCCATTTGGTCAAGGAACAAAGAAACTACCTACTTTCCACTGGGAGACTAGCTTTACATTAACTGAGGCATTGTTGAGAGAAAGGGAGAGAAGGAGCTTGGCCCTGTGTTCTAACAATGGAAGCCTTAAGTCCCTTCTCCTCGGCTGACATACTGCAATCTACCTCTACAGCCACAAGAAGTTTTCATGTCAGGCCGCTCTGTGGCTTTTCAGGCATGAGACCCCTTAGGCTCTGAGGTTGGAGCATGCTTTGCTGTACTCCCAGATCACTGATATATGTCCCGCAACTAGGCAGTAACATCTGCCCTTATTTCAGGCTTCTGTTCAGGCAATTCCTTCACCTCCTCTCCTCTCACAGCCTCAGACATAGCATTACTAAGTCCCAGTGGTCTTAATCCCATCATAAAATTACTATATTTTTCTTACCATGATAAATATTAATTCATAAGGGTTTTAGTAAAAATCAATACACTTATTATTAGCTTTGCAAAATTCTACTGCCATTACTTTAATTTTTCCAATCATAAAGTCAAATACCCTAGTAGATTTCTAGAATATATTAATAAAGTGTTACTTAGAAAAATTCAGTACTTAAGAAGTAGAATAAATATTATAATACACCTGATTGTACCCCATCCTTTTAAGCATACAGTCTATTATAATACATTCTTAAAGTGGGGGGATCCTGGTTTATGATACTGTTGTGTGCTATGTAAATACTTAATGATTCAACATCCAGTTTGCTTTATTCTGATGCAATTTACAAAGTTTGATGGAAAAAATGGGACCATCAATAATCCTCTGGTGTCATGAAAAAGAATGATGGAAATACAATTTGTGACAGCTAAGGCTCCTGGGAATTAATGCACATTGAATACTTCTGTCTCTCCTCCTTTTTATATCACTCTTTGCAGATGTTGATAAGTGGACGTGATGTTAAATATATCATCTATAATCATTTCCTTTCACTTAATCACATTACTTAAAGTATGTAAGGCATGTATTTGGCTATGTACACATTATGGTGATTGATGACAGTATTCTAATATAGTTGACTGTGGCCATAGCTACTTTTATATATAACCTTCACAACTCACCAGGTTCTCTAGATACATTTAGAAATGTATTGAGCTTAATATAATGCATAAATAATTACATTATGGTGACCATAATAAAGCCCTATTCACGAGATAAATAAAAATTTCAATTAAAAATTTAACTTAAAAGTTGGCAAAGCTTGATATTTATAAGCCTGTATTGTTGCCTTTTTCTTCCTAAAGATCCACTGATATACCTTGATATATCTCAGGAATTGAAGGAGGAAGCCTGTCAAGAGTTTCAAGTGGTTCTCAAGGATCAGATATACAAAGTTCTTAAGATCCTTTGGAGATGGCTTATAATTTATTCTGGCTATTTGAAGTCATTTGTCAGCCACTAATTTTTTGACCATTTTAATTTAGCTCCGCCAATTTTAACATCTATTGCATTTTAAACATAAGGGTAAATCAACAGCTCTTGCCAGCACCCTAGGGAAATACATGTCCTTAAAGGTACATTTTAGTAGTCTATGTGTGGAGGTCTCTTGTAGTAAGTGGATTCACTATGGACTATCTTTGAACTTAAGGGAAAATAATAATAACATAACTCATCCAAATATGGTTCCATGTCATAATCAGCACTGGAAGGTACGCATATACAATTCAGCAGAGAGTGGCTGATCTTCCGATCACAGCAAAAGACATGGGAACTGGATATAGCAATAGATTGGGCCAAATGAAATCTAATACACATTTTACATCAGAGTCTTTATGTTTCTTGAACCACAAATTGAAGTTTTCATATATTATGGACATATAAGCTTGTAAATGATTTAGCAAAAATTGTCAAAGAAGCCATATGTTTCCCACTTATTTGTATACTTGAATGAAAACTTTCTCTGACTGTATTTTTTTTTTTTTTGCCTAATTTTAAAAAGTAAATGTAACAGAAGTACTTTAAGAAGAATTCCCAACAAAATAAATAACCAGAATAAATTATCTGTTGGGAAGGATTGCATATGTTGAGAATGATATTTATATGTGAAACACGAAAGAGTGTTCTTGTACTCTGTTAACCTCAAAGCAAATTTAGATCATCCCATGTCACATTCTGCTTTCAAGAGGTGAGAGTTGAAGAATTCAAGCAGTGTGGTAAATTGAGAACGATTCAAAGATAATTTAAATGGAGGGAAAAAGAGAAAAAGGTTGACTTACAAAACTCTAGTTAACTAGATAAATTTGTGGGCAGGATAGGAAAGTTCAAGGCCATTAATGTAGCATATATACATTGTAGAATTTAACTCTGCTGATATTATAACCAGGCAGCTTTGAGTTCTGCGCACTACCTACCAATGTGAATTTTGACAAAATATTTAAGGAGTTAAAACACACACACACACACACACACACACACACACACACACACACACACACACACACACACACACACAC